CTCCCCCCCCCCAACTGTTTTTATCTCTCTTTGGTAACAGAGCAAATTTGCTCAGGACCCTGAGGGGGAAACAAGCAGACTGTTGACTGTTGAGCAAAACCTCCCCTTTGGAGAGAGGCAGCGGTGTGCCTGGGGAGGTGGCAGCCTCTTGCATAACCCCGAGGCCTCCTGCCCACCCGGGCCCTGTCAGGGTTAGGGGTGAGACAAACCGCAAACTCATGCCCAGTTAATTTTTTAAGGCAAAATCAACAGGCTCAGCAATGATTAGCAGGCAGGTAAGTTCGTCTTAATCATGCCGAGGAGAGGGAGGAAGGAGTCTTCTAGGGGCCCAAGGATGGGGCTCAGTTATCAGTTAACCACATGAATGTTGTTTCCTTCCAAACCCACTGGCCTTCAGCCCTGAACTCCCTCATCTTCCTCTCCCGAGTCCTTCTGTGGCACTTCTGTGGCAGCCCAGTGGCCGGCAGTCACTGAGCGTACAGACCAATCACTGTCCGGGTCTGTGGGGGACACTGCCAGGGCCCTCGAGGACAAGGGTGAAGCAAACGGGTCCTCATCGGTGGGGTCCTTAAGGCCGAGCTCAGCCACCACCACTGTGTGGCCGGGGCATGTCCCCCAACCCCTTGGGGTTCAGTGAGAGCCTCCGGTTCCTGGCCTCCGGTCTGCAGCTCACCCCGAAGCCAGCTGCCACTGTCCAGGGGCCTCCGTGTCTCTCTCCACCAAATGGGAGCATTGGCTGAGACCCACTCCAGTCTTGAAGTTCTCTGAGGGCACAGCTGGGCTAATTCAAAGTGGCCTGTATCCAGCAGGAGGCGGGGGTGGCGTTCAGAAGGCGGAGGGGGAGGCAGGGATGCCCAGGACGGAGGGGGCCTACCTGATACCGGCAAGTGTCAGATCCCAGCTCCAGTCGAGGGCCGTCCTCTCAGGCAGGGGTCTGTGTGGTGTGGCCTGGGGCTACAGGCCCGGCCTGGCAGACCCCCCACGGGCCCAGGACCCCTCCCCATCCCCTGGGCTTTGTGAGCAGCCAGAGGAAGCAAGGAGGACCACAGTAGCTGTGGGCTGCTGGCTGCCTGGACTGGAGTTTGGTCAGTGGTTGGGGACCTATATTGTGAGAAAGTTAGGACTTTGTCCACAAACTGGAATTTGAAATTTCAAAGGGGCGAAACTGAAGGGCCCTACCCCAGAGTGGAGATGGCTCTTGGCTTCTTTCCTCCAGGACTTTTGTTCTTTGTCTTGATAAGTCCCCAGTTCCCGGCTGCTCCCCACGTGTGGGTGGGGGAGGACAGGCGGGAGACAGGGGTGGCGAGCCCTAGGGAAGCCAGCGCCTGGACGACACCCTGAAACGGATGGCAGGAGCAGACGCCCTTTTGGGGGCACCAACTGTCGTGGGTCCCCCATATTTTGAGGGACTTTTCGAGATTCCCGGAGGCCTGAAAGGGGTGAAACCCTAATGCCGGGTTCAAATGATGGCCCCTCCAGTCATGATCTGTGTCCTTAAGAGGAAACTCTCTCCACCTCTCTGAGCCTCGATTTCGTCACCTCTAAATTGGGGGTGACAATCATCCCTACTTCTGTGGGCAGAGAAAAAGTGAAGAGTGGAAGGTTGGTGGCATGGGGCCTCGCCTGCAATCTCTCCAGGAACATTCGCTATTATTACAATGGAAAAGAAAAATTATACGGCCCCGCCCACACCGGGGCTTGGGTCCCCGCCACGGCTGCCCGGCTCAGGGTGTGGCACCCCACCCCTTTTCCTCTCCAGGCCTTTGTTTCCCCACAAGAGGAACTGAGTCTCTTGGTGAGCACTGTGGCCCTCTGGGAGCTGAAGCTCCTCCAGCTGGAGTCTCACAGCCCATGGGGCAGGTCGAAGGTAAAGAACAGCCTCTGTATGGATGGTGCCACAGCCAGAGCTTGTCTGGGGGTGCATGGCTGCCACCCAGGAGATCCCCTGAGCAGGAGTCCTGACACCCCCGCCCCAGGTCATGCGGTCAGAGGGTCAAGGAGTCGGCCACCACTAGCAGCAACCACGCTGTCTTCTGTGCCCACGGTGGGTCAGCTGATGCCCACACCCTCACTGTCAGCAGGCCCAGCTCACTCACCTGATGCCCACACTAAGGCTGAGAGAAACAGAGTCTCAGGCCACCGAGCTTGGGAAGCTGGCAGGGTCTGGATTTAGCTCGGTGTGGTGTCAAGGTCTGTGTCTTATCCTCAAGTTGGGGGCTGGGGGAGAAAGCTAAGAACCTTCCAGTCTTATTCATTTGATCTTCACAAGTTACAAGCTAGATTATTTTACAGAAGGAGAAGCTAAGGCTTCCAAATAATAATTTACTTCCCTGGCAGGGCCCATAGATCTTATAGGTGGTGTCTAAAGCTATTGTCTGCGTGGGCTGTGGTGGGTTCATGGTGTACGCAGTGGCTTATCCACGCTTTAGTTCATGAGTGGGCACATTCACCTAGGGGGTAAATCTTACTTAGGTCGAGTGGATCATCGGGTGGGGGAGTTAAAGATGGGCAGATGGGGGTGGGTTTTCCACTACCCTTGCGATTATTCGAAGCCCTTTCTCAGTCCTGCCAGCTTCCTGTCCCTTTCCACCTTCTGCCCCGAGCTGAGATAATGGTCATTGGCAG